CTCCAATGAACCGAATTAGGGCCAAGTGTCCACGGTAATCACCTCGCAACAATAGACCTAGCTCTATAATATAAGAACTAATGAGGAGATTTACAGCACAGAGCTCTATAGTCCTCGGCAGTCCGCAATGTTCGGTCTGGAATCAACGGGCTAGTCTCTTAAAAATTAAAATGAGAAGGTAGGTGGCTGTCGTTCCCACAGGCAGATGGCGCATCAACATTGGGCAAGAAAGTGAAACTACTTTTACAGGGTTCTGAATGTAAACCGGCAAGAACGGGCCCGGGAAGTGCACAGCATCGGCGCTATGTTGAGACAGGTTTAATTGCAATGGGTCAACTGCAGTGTAAGGATGGATGACGAGCGGCTGCTCAAGTGACGTTAGCACAAGCAAAGTGGACAAAAGCGACGGTACAAAGACAACTGGAGCAGCTATCACAAGCACCCGAGACGATCCAGGAAACCTGAAAAATTAAAGTGCACTACTGGCGGATTTAGTGTGCTGCTTTAATGCTGAAGCCAACTGAAAATCGGCAAAGCACCAGAATACCCGGAACGAACGCTTAATTTATGCTAATAGTTTTACTTCCGACTTACGTTCATGGTACGGGGTAGCATAATGGGGCATCTTCAGGTACACCACTATGACAGTACGACCAACTCACCTCCCACACCATAAAACAGCATCACCGTCACCACCACAACTGGATGCCCTCACATCTACTCTGACCGTGACCACATTGCAATCCTAGTCTGCCTTGGTTATATGTCTTGGTATCGCAATGGAAATGATTACAAGTCAAAGGAGGCCCCAAGAACGACGCATACAGTGTCAACATGTTATACTCTAATCACACACAAAGTTCAGGTCGGTTGTTCGCCAATCTATCATAGAGTGACCGAATAACCGATATCAGGAAGTCCAGACAACAGTTATCACGTCAACATTATCGACACACTGTCCAATAGAATGCAGACGTCGCGTAGGCTGTTTAAGTCGCGCTAGCCTACATGTCACCGACTGAGAGAACATCCCAAACTGCGCATGCAATAAACATTCGATAAAATTAGTCAATATATTAACGCCAGACGAAATAACCAGATGAAGACTGTACACTTTTTCACTTGCTTGGTGAGCTCCGGTTCAAGTGGAGTGGGTGATAAGCTAATGAGTACCTATACAATCAGTGATCGTTGGAAGTTAAGTTGGGATGATCGCAGTGACTGATAAAGTTAAACGCTCCGCCTACGTATCAAGAATGACCTGCTACCTAACTTTACTTCAGCAAGTATCATGCAGTTCACCTGCGTGAAGATACCGAAAAGATTGCGCTAAGGTGCTAATGTAGTCTAGCGCGTTGTCATCGGCAAATGATACCGCTACTTTAGGTATTGTACAACGCAGGAAATGAATGCAGTCACTGAGCAGTAGTTCAAACAACATACCTTTTAAAAACGAGCATAAAATAAATCGGTACCGGTTTAAAGTAAATTTTATGGGATAAAAAAATTCAAAGGGAACCAACCGCAGCATGTTTCGCCATCGTAAACACTATTTAGCAACCTCTATCTGACAAGGTATTTGAGTCTCAGTAGATAGTCAGTTAACCTAGGCGTCTACGGCAATTATTCGGTTTGATCTCGCAATAATACAGGGCTTTTTTCGCCTAAGGAATCCCAATAGGCACGTCGCGCCTCGTTAGAAGGTGTAAAGGCGGATAAAAAGTAGTTGTAAGCCGAACGGCATAAAGTTGAGAACTTTACCTGGCAACTGTTCAAGCGACGGGAGGGTGTGACCAGTGCGCTAGGAGTCGGCTTAGTGGGCCAATCGATGCGACCAGAGTTGCCTTTACCAGGCACTGCACAGGCCGCCGCAGTAGCAGCAGCATCGGTAGGAGAGAAAGACAGCTTGCGGCTTTCTAGCTCTACCGGACTGTAACCTTCAGATGTGGTTGTTGAGGGAGATCGGGTGGCGTTGCGGGGACCCTCATTCTCGTCATCCGCCTCCTCAGCGACGTCATCCTCATAATCAAGCTCGTCACCGGCGAGAGAGGCAGGACGATTACATGGGACAGTGGTAGTAGAGGCAAACCGCCTTCGTTGACGCGTATCGATCCGAAAGAGCTCGGACGGAAGAAGCAACGACCCTGATCGGGAAGGCGAGGAGGAGGTTGAGGTAGAAAACACGGTCTCATCTTTGGCCTCAGCAGAGGCACCCGTAGCCGCAGCCGAAGCAGCAGCATGCGCGGAGGCTTTGCGTTTTCGACTGAGCCGGGTGGTTATCCGCTGAATGTCGCCTAATTGCCCCTTTTCCTCCATTTCTGCCTTACTGGGCCGTTTCAGTCGGCCCTTTGTGAGGGGTTTTTTAACGCTGTTGGTAGGCTTGCGGTTGCCTGTACCGCTGGCTGAAGACGCGGTAGTACTAACAGCGGTGGTGGGAGAGGGCAGGGTCGCGAGTTTAATGTCGGTAGTTAGGTTTTTGTCTGGTGGGACGGCTATTTCTACGAGGTCCGAGTCATTGTTACGCAGACCGGGAAGCAGGTTCGAAGAACCAGGTTTCGGTACAGACTCCCACGTCTAAGCAAAACAAAACGCAAGGTCAGTGTGTCTGGTATTGGATACCTTCAAAAACTGTCCAAGATTTATAGTCTCGAAAAAAGTCGATTGCACAAGCATACCTCATTACGGCGAATCAGTGTGGTCGAAAAATCGAGTCAGCAGCAGGTGAAAAGAGAACGGAGGGAAAAAATAGTCATTTTGACTGTGAGCAGATCTCGAATACTGGTCTGAATTAGTGACGAGTGTGGAATCGACTCATAACTGCCTACTCTGTCGCACTGTCCATAAAGTTTGAAGATACTAGCATAAACCTGCTCATCACTTTTTTCAGCTTCTTGAGCACACCTGGTATCTAGTATTATCATCCCAGTTAGCTTCGCATGAAAAATTAAATGGTAAGTTAGCTCTCCATCATTAATAAGCAGAATTATAATAGTCTTTAGTACAGTGCAGGGGTGGATGCCCACGCATCTTCTGGCGAAGTAAATTTCTAATTTCGTAGCGTCAGTCCCAATTTAAGTCGGTTTGTTTCCTAAAACTCGCGGACTGTTGCAAAAGTCTCAAACATTTGCGATCATAATTAATAGTCATAATAAGTGATAATATCGCCTGCATGAGTAGGTGACAGAGGAAGTGAGAGCGTAAATTCTTACGTTTCACTTCGAAAAAACTAAAATATTCTATATTGAAGCGGCAGTCGTAGAGCGGCAATATGAAATCCTCTCTTACTTAATCGAAAAGATAAAAGTAGTGTGAGTAAGCGTCACAAGAGATGGACGTTTTAGCAAAAGAACTTTTGTGAGTGGCACCATTCGTGCTACAGCTGGGTGTAGTAGAAACAGCTGCCTAAGGGGACCCCAGAGAAACTGGTGACAGATTTATAGAAAATGTAATATTTTCTAAATAGTGGTGGGCGCAATTTCGAATAATATATTGATGGAGACTACTGCGGCTGTGGCCCACCTATCTTTTCTCGGTGGCAAGGCATTTGGAAAAAGGCTGACTAATAAGGCAATTCTACTGTGTCTTTAACGCCTGAGACTCCTGCGTCACGGAGATTGACACTTCAGTCCACCAGTTTTTGCACCAAATTCTTGTTCACTTTTCTATTATTTTAAGGAGTTACCGGAACGAATCGTCGTTGTAGAAATCGGTGCGAGCCATCTGAGGTGCAAATTGGCACCAATCAGTTTTGCAACTCTGGCGCGGACTGGTGATTTAAGAAAATGACAATTTGCGATCGCCCTGTCGACTCGGGTCGGGTCGGAAAGCGAGGCGAAGTTTCTCTAGTCAGAGCCTCGGTTATCTTAGGTCGCCGCCGCATATCGACATCAAGCCGTCGTCTTGCGCGTGATAACCTGGGTGCGGATGAGAAGCGAACTTCCAGGAGTGTACTAACGAGAAAACACTTTAACCCAATAGGTGTTGCTAGTCTTGGCAGCACACATCAACCTACTATCATGGACCTTAATTTGGAAGCTTAAACCGACAAAGAGTGTAGTCACAGTGACCGCAGGGTCGTTGTTTGAATATCAGGGTAGTCAATGGTAGTTCCGGAGCCGTAACCACATGTTGTTGGTAATCAGTTGGTACCAAGAGTACTGGAAAACGTAACACGGAGTTCCAGGAATCTTGACACATAATGTAGTTACTATAATTCCAGGGTGAAGTCTAAGGGTTGATTGACGGAATTTTCGATCGGAAGCCAGCATGACTTATCCGGGATTACGTTTTATCCCACAGCAGCCGCAGAAATGCTCGTTCAGGTTCCTAGTTGGCGTGAAAACCAACATGTACAAACAGGACTGACTGAGATCTGAGCGCAAACTGCATTTTGGATAAGTGAGGCCAGATAAAGGATGGAAGAGAAGACTTTAGGTTATTGTCCAGAAGAGGATGGGTAGGGAAGAGATAATTCGGCAAGACTGAAAAATCAGGCTAAAGGAGTAATCAATATGTAAGGCAGGGGAATCAGGGAGGTGCAATGCGTGCTTTTGAGCAATCTGAAAATACACTCTCACTCAAATACACGGTCGCCACACAAAATCACAGGATTAACAATGGAATTTTACAATGGGATAATTTGTTGATAAAAGTGCATGCAGTAAAATGGCATAACGAAATTTGAGTCAAAGGACGTTGTTTTCGAACGAGCCAGTTCGGGGCGTTAACCTCCCCCCGCCCTGTATAGAAGATGCGCAGAGCAAACCAAAACCGTCACTGTAGGTCACTCATTGGGGTGCTGACGCACTTCGGGTCGCAAAACAAGAACATTAAGTGCATGCCCAAAGCGAGTTGGCAAAGTCTTCGCGCTAGCTTAGCCCACACAAAGGCCTAGAAAATGTTACTGCCACACCAGATGGCAGTCAGATAGAGGTAGATACGAGTAAGCTGACGTCAGTAAGCAAGTGCAAAATAAATTTGTCGCAACTTAAGCATATGACTGTCGGGTAACTCGAAATTAGCGCAAAAAGCCTTGACAATAGACACTTCTCGCCGTGGAAACTGGCAAGGTCAGTACAGTAAGAAAACGAATATGGTCACCTGACAAAGCACTCACTGGGGATCTTTTACGTCTAGAGTCCGAACCGAGATTGGCAGCGGATATAAAATTTTGGAGTTTGTGAGTGGCACGTACATTATCAGCTAACCTACTGTGGGTAAAAGTAAGCTTACTGGTTCGTCTGCTTTTCATTGTGAATTTAGGCGACGATTTAATCAAAGAAAAGCAACCTCCTTGATCAGCGGCGATAAAAAATCACATGTTTTGGAACAAACATGTGTTAGAAAAATAAGAGCACTTGTTTGACTGGTGGCTAACAGGTTTACGGGCAAAACAGGAGCAAACACTGACTGTAATTATCGAGGATCCGTGTTGCCACCATATAACGGGTTGTTGGCATGCCCAAGTCGACTAGACTCTACTCAAAAAAATAAGCGCACGGGCTCAACAAACAGACCACTTCGCCAACAATCATGGAGGACAGTTCACGCCATGGGCCGTCGTACTTTTCCAGCAAAGTCTGCTTCAAAACATGGCTAATCAACGAACTGCTCAATACAACGACCAGAGATCAGCTGAACAAGTGTTAGAGAAGAAAATTGGTGCACTGGTGAGATAAAAATAAGGTTAAACCAACCACCTCTAAAGGCTTACGTCAAAGGGTACTAGCACCAGCAGAGACAGAGGTAATACAGTTAGCGTATCCAGTGCTGTGTTAGAAGACGCTAGTACAGGCGCTCTATTCTCCATGGCCGACGTCAACGTTACGTGGTGATCACACACCGCTCTAAACCTCTGATGACAGCAGTTCATTCTGCGTGCTTGACAGTGGTGTGCACGCCCTGTACTCCACTTGCAATCATCGCTCACCCCCTAAATTATCTGCCCCAACCCGTCGAACTTGCCGTACGGGCGATATGGAAACCACGAGAGTTAATTATAAGACACCTATAAACCCCTGCAAACCTCTAATATTTTCATTACCTATGTAACTGCATAGGTCTGACAGTTAATTACCGAAAAAATGTGTTTGTCGACTGGACTATTCATGTTTATTATAAGCATATTCGCAGAACTTAAAGGGAGTATTCAAAGCTGCCGCAAACATCGATTAACGAAGTGATTCCTATGGATTCTAGATGGATGAATTAGAAACTCCTTTTCGGGCAGTTAACTTACTGCGTCAGAATTGGTGGGTTCTACACTTTGTGATAGGCTGCGCCGATAACACTACGAAATGTGATTAGACTCAAGACTTCCCGTGGGACCTCGTAGTTCGGTTGATTAGAGTGGCGGTTGTACCCGAGTCTCGTCCACGCTGTTGTGGGTTGGAAAGCGACCGAGGCCACAGAGTTCTTTTTAACTGGGCCAAATGGATAATTAAGGTTCCAAAATATCCACAATTATGAGAATTGGAAATTCTCCTGTCTGGACTTCATAGGCTGTGGAGGAATGACTCAGTCTGGTTAACGGTGGGTTGAAAAACAGTCAGCATAAATACCAGAAGTGTAACAGTTTCGATAGACATAAGGGACTTTACGTAGTCGGAATCGATACGGATGGACGCAAGGCTCCAGGTGAAGAGGCGGTCCAAAAAACTATTCAGTCGAGAGGATTTGAGTCCTACTTTCTAGCCGTAAATGATGTTGACACCGAATTATGTATAATTTATGCGTGAAGTCCCCGGTTGTTATCTGCTTTAGAGCCTAGCCAAGACGCATTTGTAATCTGGATAAGCCTTTTCATCAGATGTGATGATGGCATGTGGACCTCTAGTTGGGCATTCGGTAAAAGTGCTTCTGAAAGCAGCTTTGCTCTATATGTGATGGGAAGTAAATTGGATTGTTTACACCACATGCAGCAACTGCGAAACGGAGAGCTTGGGAAAATAATATTAATTGTGGACAAGACCGTTAAGTCTAATACTAACATATATAAAGAGATGAAGAACTGCACACAAACGGCACCACTTAGATGGACAATGCAATGACGCAAGCACGCACCTGATCAGCGCCAGCAGACGCTCCAGACCGGGTATCAGTTTCATCCCCCGTTAGGTTAGTGGCGGTGCTTGCATCGGCGGTGGCAGAGAATAAATTGACGCCGGAGGGAGGACTAAGTGAGGTGGGAACAGGGGCCGACTTTGGAGTGCCATTTTGGAGACTGGAAGAGTTATTGGTGGTAGCAGACATGGGAGCAGTGGCCGCCGCGACAATCGGACTCACTGGAAGGCCGGAATAGCGAGATCGGTTGCCTACCGTCTTGCG